CACCGCTGGCGGCGAGGTCGTCCATGGGGGGCACGACCCCTGGCATTCCGCGTCCTTCCGCTCTCGCCGGCCCCCTCTCGCTGCCACAGGCCTCCCTTTTGCCCGTTCCGCCCGACAGCCGCACCTCCTTTTTTTTTTGTTCGTTTTTGCTTTGCGCGCCCGCCTTCGCTGGGTGCAATTTTTGCATGACGCTGGCGCCGGTGGAGGGCACCAATGCAACACACCTCTCCCCATTATGCTCTACAACCGCCCTCGCCCAGCGACGCCTGCTGCCAGCCGCAGTGTACAGCAAAAGTTCCAATGCATGACCGTGCGTGCACCAGAGAAGACGGATGAGCGGGGCTTTTTTCGTTTATTATTGGCGGGGAATAGCAGAGAAGAGCCTGCCCCTCCCCGTTACTCTTTCCAACCAGCGGGCGTACACACACACACACACACGCACATACAGTGAAACGCACAGTAACACACACACAAACAGTGAGTCCAGTTAACACATCCCAGGCTCATCTGTGAGGCAAAGTCAAGAAAAAAAAGAATACCATTAGCAAAAGGATGGTGCAGGTGAGAAGCACTTGTGAAGTTCACAGTGCTTCATCCCCAAAATCCCCTCCCTCTGTTTCGTGGCGCCTTGTTAGCTGTTCATAGTATACCCGCATCTCCACACTATTGGGGTCAAACACGTACCACCGGGACTTGGGCTCCGGCAGCGGCCGCGCATCTTTGTGTCGCCGCAGGAAGAACTCAGTGGCGAAGGTGAGCCCGAGCACGAAAGCGAGCGCCCCCACGGAGAGGAAGGCAATCCCAAGGGCGTGGCCGTCCTTGCCTACCCACGAACGGGTGCGGAGGAGGAACCCCTTGGCGCCGCGAAACGTTGTGACGTCAAAGTACTCCTCAATGTCCATAACGTACTTTCCCTTTTCCAGGTCCACGTCAATGATTCGGAGCAGCTTGCGGAAGTTGGGCAGCGCCGAACCGCGTAGCCACACATGCACATCGTAGTCGGCTGGGTCGGTTAGGCTGTGACCGGGCTCATTCGCGTACCACCCATTTGTGAGGTACACATCATCGTTGGGGTAGGGGTAGCGCAGCGACCATCGTCGCAGGCTGGTGCGTAGCGGCTTGTACCGCACTTTTCTATCCGCCTTCCACGAGATGCCCCGCTTGCGGCAGTGGTTGCGCGCGACACTGTGGCCAAGGGGTTTGCCGGTGGGACCAAAATCGCTGGAGTTGCAGATCAACATGAGATTGTCGGCCGAGTGCGTACCGCCGCCCGCTGGGGCCTCCACCCGGTAGAGGACAAAGGTATCGTTGAACATCGACCACGGCGCCATTCCACACGGATTGTAAATGAAATCCTCGTAACGCAACACACGTGCTACACCCTTTTCCTCGACCTTGACTTCCTTGCCCAGCATGCCGTTGAGGAACCCGGGCTTTTGAAATGGCTCGCACTCCTTGTACGTCTTGCTGCGACGCTCCTTCCCGCGCAGAAGGTTGCGTGAGGCCCCGTCGTGGAAGTCCCTAAAGTTCTGAAAAAAGTTTTCCAGCGTGTAGTACAGGTACACCGGGGCCTTCAGCGTCTCCCGCAGCTCCAGCGTGACGCGGGTGCGGGTGCCCTGCCGGTGCGTGACGTTCCCCACCGTGAAGGCGCGAATGCCCTGATTCACGTTGACGCTGGGGTCCGTCGGCAGGTACTGATAGCGGTGGATCGCGCTGTACTGCTGCCGCACCTCGTAGTAGCGGTCGCTGGCGAGGATGGAGGAGATGCCCAGCGGAATGAAGAGAAGCGTCACGACGGCAAAGGCGAGGAGAACCGCGAGAGGAGTGAAGTAGAGGAATAAGGCCGGAAGGGTTTGCTGGATGATGGGGTTGCCTCCGTAGCTTGTGCGACCGTACGTCGCCCACCGGCTCCCCATTGTCAGGCTCGTTCCCTGTTTTGACGTGCCAGGAGCGGAGTACATTAGCCGTAGGGCAAATCACACCTTATTTTCCTCCCCCCTCCCCTCTTTCTTATTCTTCTCTCGCTCTGTAAAACAAACAGACACGCAACCTGGCGCTCCTGCACTAGAGACTCTTGAAAAGCCAAAAGCCAAATGCCAAACACGCCCGTGGCGGTGGTGGTGGGGAAACAAGGACCACAGCAACAGAACCATGACACAATATATATATTTAGTTTAAAACTAAAACAGTACACCTTTCCTTCACCGTACACCTACCTTCTTTCAAGCAATTACATATAGGTGCATACGTATATGTCTATTCTTTTTCGCATGCGCGCGTGTGTAGTGATGGTGGGTGTGATGTTTCACTACCGCCGTTAAACAGTGGCCCCGCTACTTCTGCAGGTGTTTGTATCATCAACTTTTCCCTCTGCGTTGTGGTGCTCGTGCTCTTCGCGTTGCCGCAAGACGTCATAGGCCGCGCACAAGACTGTCCTCAATCAACTGTTCCAGCTGCTGAATGGCGCTGAACTCCTCCATGCTGTCGGTGAAGAAGGAACTCTCCCTGCTTCCCGTCCCCGGATACCCAGAAAAGTTCCAGGAGGCGCCGGAGCTGCTGTAGGCGGCGGCGCGCCCTTTCCGCTTCGCGACGGCAAGCTGAATTTCCTTTAGCAGCTCCTCATGCTGCGTCTCAGCCGCTCGAAGTTTTACGCGGTAGGCCTCGAGTTCCGCCGTCAGGGCGTCCCTGGCGGAGAAGACGGACTTCCGCACGGGGGCGATGGCCGCCCCGCCACCACTGCCTCCCCTCACCCGCAGTTGCGGCGGAGTAGAGTTGCGGCGCACTACAGGGTTCACCTCCCGCTGCACGTGGCGGGGGGCTCTTCTACTCCCAGCCTTCTCAATGGCTGCCTGGAGCTGCGTGAGCCGGTCTCTTATGTGGTCACCCTCGCTGTCAAGTCCCCGCAGTTGCCGTGTGAGGCGCAACGTGGATTCCTGAAGGCGCTCAAGCACCTTCTGCCTCTCAGCGAGCTCTGCTTTCTTGGTATCATGCAGAACACTCTGCCGTTGGAGCTCCTTCCTCACGAAGCGTTCCTGGGCCTCCACGCCGCTGGTAACCTGCCGCAGCGAGCGGGCCGCCTCAAGGTAGTACAACACTTGCTCGCTCCGCAGCTTGTCGTCCAGGGCGTCGGGCGCAGCATTCCTCACGTTTGACTCTTCGGTCTGTGCGGTCACAGGCCCCGCTGCCCGGGTTTCCGCCTCTGGAGCGGCAGTGGGCACCGTGCCATAGTCCGGGGCAAACGAGGAGGGCGGGGATGGCCCGCTCAAGTTGTGGGAGAGGGGCGTAGAGGCGGAGGAGAGCGTCACGGTTTCTTCTGCCGCTGCCTGGTCGTCCTCCGGCAGTTTGACGGCCGCGTCACGTGGCGGTGTCGCGATCGCAGCAGCTTCGTCCGGCTTAGGCGCCTCTGCCGCCGTTGTGTTCGTCGGCCCTCTCCGCGTATCCTGCTGCGACGACGCCAAGGCGTGCGGCCGTCGCCGCCTTGGTGTGCCGTCACTCTTTTTGTTTGCTTTCGTCACTTCCGTCCTGCCCATCGCGCGGGTGTGCGCCGCCGCCCGCCGCTTCGCAGCGCCCGCTTCTGCTGTGGCCCACGACGCAACGACCGAGGAGCTGAAGGGGAAGAGGGAGAAAGACAGAAAGAGAGAGAGAGAGAGAGAGGGGGCGCAGTGCAGCCTTCAGTGCGGGTCGCTGCTGACGCCGGTGGAAATCCGCACCACACGTGCCGCGGGACGACCGGCCAAAAAGGGCGGCAACGGCAGATGCCACACACACACACACACACGCACAGAAACAGTGGACGCGGACAATACATAAATGAGGTTGGGGGTTGGTTGGTTGGAAAGACGCACAAACCAGCGTACAGGCAAACACACAATGCGTATCATCAAAGTCAAGAATAAAATAAAAACAACAACAACAAAAAAAGACGCACTACACACAAGGAGGAAGCTGAAATTCTTTGCGTCGACTCAATAACAGCCCTTCAAGATTGAAATGTGCGTAGTTATAAGAAAAAAAAAGCCAGTGGGTGTCTTCGCGACCACGGCGGTGTGTCATTGCGCCCGTGCGTGCCCGGGGCTTCCTACTCCCAATACATCTACTAAGGTGGGAGGGGGCTCAAGTTTTTCTTGGTGGCGCACTCCGTGGCCGCCGCGATCTGCGCATCCACGTCAGAGTACATGCGATCCGTCAGCTCACCGTTTCCCGCGTTGCCCGAGACAATCTTTAAAATTGTCTCAATGAGTTCGTAGTTGCCAAGCATGTCAACATGATCGCCACTGTTCGAGCCCCCGCGCAGCTCCATCATGGACCCGGTGCTGTGCTTGAGCTCCCGCGTGATGACGCGGCCCACGTTCCGCTTCCAGCCATTCTCTGCCCGACACATGTAGCCAAGCGACATGAGCGGCACAGTTCCGTCGCCGTTGCCAAAAACCACGCCATTGATGGCACGCCCCGGCTGTTGGTAGGTGAGGTTGACAATCTCGTCGTCGCCAAAAATGTACCCCACCTCTGTCGGCCGATCCACGCCATAGAGACAAAAAACCGTTAAATTTGGTGAGGGGGGAAGGGAGGGCAGCTCGTCAAAGTGCTCCAGGATCTCCTCAATGTGCTCCCTCTGCGCCGCATGGTCGCTTTCACGCAGTCGCCGCGCGGTGAGCTGAAGCACCTGCCTCGGGGTAAGCCGAGTGCCGTTGGAAAGGGTCAATAGGTCCGGAAACATGGCATCGCAGCCAAATGGGTACATGGCTGACAGGCAGGACCACGTGCGCATTGTTTCCGTGCGAAGTTCGCGTGAGAGGTGTGAGTCAAGCACCTGACGCACGGGGCCTGGAAGTGTGAGGGTGTCTTTTGCGTCCCCGGCAAGCACGGCGGACACCGCCTTTGCCACTCCCAACGTCGGTCCTCCAAGGTTGACCCAGAATTCCATGTATTTGTCCACCCAGCCTGGTTCACGCTCCTCCGACCAGCGGAGAAAGTCAATGAGGACGTCGGTGCCGTAGCTGTGGGAAATAACCACCACCTTGTCATTATTCTTTTGATACAGGTATAGGAGTTGGTTGCGGAGGTAGTAGTAGTACCCGTCACGTTGGTGCATGCGACGCGGAGAGAGCCTCCAGTCGTAGCAGAAGATCCCCACGCTCTGTGGGTCGTAGCCGATGTCGGCGAGGTTGAGCACCACCTTGGCCCACACCCAGTACCCTGGCATGAAGAAGTCGGAGGCGCCGAAGCCCAAGTCAGGGCGGATCTTCACCCCCGGTGGGTCGAAGCCGGTGCGCTTGTCCAGCGCAAAGAGGCGGAAGTAGCACAAGGGATCGATAAACGCCATGAGCAGCATCCGCGGGCCAAACATGCGCTGGCGAAAGTTGGACGCTAACGACCGCTGCGCCTCCACGCACTCCACGTTGTCTTCCCACACCTCGAGGGCGGTGGAGATGAAGCCCGGGATGATCATCACGGGGTGCTTGCGGCGCACCCTGTGCGTTTGCAGAAAACGGACCCCCGGCCGATTTTCATCTGCGACGATGAATGAGGCGGTAAAGGTCGAGACATCCTCATGGAAGCTGTAGTACCCGAGCAACACGGCAATAAGCAGCAGGACGAGCATCACACGACGGGTGGTAAAAAAGTCCACGGCGTAAAACACCGGCCGCTTGGCAAACGGCGGGAGCAGGCGATCCACCACCTGGAAGGTGCGCACCTGCTCGGAGGTCACCTCCGCGACCACGGGGGTCTCGACAAACTCCTCCTTTGCGAACATGAAGGCGAGCAGCCTGCGCACCCACCCACCCACACGGCCTTCCGTCGCCTGGCCGTCGGCTGCTGGAGACTTGGGCATTTGCACTGGCGCCACAGTCGCGTTTCTCTTGCCCTTCGCCTCTTCCCTCACGGGGAGTTTCTCACTGGTCGGCGCATCGCCCGGCGGGACCCTCAGCTTCGACGAAAGCGTCCGCGTCGTCGTCGTCGCCGCCGCCGTAGATGGCGCCCTCGCGTCGTCTCCATGCATCTCCCCCGCCCCCCGGCCACCGCTGCCTGCCCGCGACGTCTTGTTTGCCCCGCGCCGTCGGCGAGACATCCCTTGCTGAAGTCTTTATCGCGAGCTACAGAGGGCGGGATTCCCCCCTGCTTTTTTGTTTTGTTGTTTTGTTTTTCTTAGCGTCTCCGCGGACCTGCGTGGAGAGATTATTCCCTGCTCACAGCCGCCGGGGCATTGCAGCGGCGCGGCAAACAAAACGCACACGCACACACAAGCAGGAAAAAAAAGAAGAAAAAAAAGAGGGAAACACAAAGCGAAGGCAATTCCATACGCCCAAGTATATGTACATAAACACACCTGCATACGTGCTTCCTGAGTACGTGCAGGGCCGGCTGGGTCTGCAAACATACGCGCATATGGCCGTAGGCGTCCGCCTCCCTCCCCCTCCCCCCACGCATGCCAAGCGATGCATAAAGGCCGGCTAACACACTGCCACCGGGGCAGGCCAAATATTGACGCTGATGTGGCACACGCACAAACGCGCACAACGAAAGAGTGTGTGTGAGAGAGAGAGAGAGAGAGAGAGAGAGAGAGAGAGAGAGAGGAGAGAGAGAGAGAGAGAGGAGGAGAGAGAGGAGGAGGAAGTAAAGTAAAGTAGTCGTCGACAGAACGAAACGAAACAACAACAAACAACAACACACACACACAATAATAATAA